GGGTGGGGGGCTTTCTTTTGAAGCACTTAAAGTGGGGTGCTTTCCTTTTATCTTTCTCTTGGATACATTTCTGTGAATGTCCACGAGAGGTCCCCTCAGACTTAACTTGGACCACAACGGACTCCCAGAGCACCCCATAGTGTTTGGAGTGGGTAGGACCTATCCGAGCTCAGGGAGAGTTGACGTCACGAGTTACTGGGCAGTTTTTGCACCAACGTTTACCTAATTTGCCCTCGGCTCTCGCTTACCGGCTACCCAGTGCACCCAGTGCGAGGGAAGAAAGGGCTGAGCAGAAGGGAGTCAGGCTGTTGGTTTTGAAATAAAGGGAACTGGCAGTAAGCAGCGCCTACCGGAAAGCCCGGAGGTGGGCTCCGGGCGAGGAGTCTGGCCGGGGCAGAGAAGCCGACCAGAGCATCGGCCGCCCCGCAGAAAGTGTGCAACAGCTTCAATTAAAGATGACTTCCGGGGGGCTGGAGAGATGGCTCAGTGGTCTAAAACACCTACTTGAAACAAGCATGGCAAAGCACAGGGACCGCGGTTCGATCCCCCAGCACCACATGCCAGCCAGCCCCGCCCCCTGGTGGGCTGAGCTGGCCACACACACACACAATAAATAAAATGTAATAAATAAAAATAAATAAATATTAAAAAAAAAATAAAAAAAATAAAGATGACTTCCGGGCCCGGGGAGATAGCTCAGTAGAAAAAGCACTTGCCTGGCAAGCGCAGGATCCTGAGTTCAATACCTGGTATCCTGGAAAAAAAAAAAAAATCTTTGTCCACTCAAGAAATTTGCCTTTCTAAAAGACATGAGAAAATGGTATCACAAAGATTAATGTTACTTCAACAAATGGAGCATAAATTTGGAGATCAAAACACAGAAAAGGCATCTCAGCTGCAAGCTTTCAAAAGGAACCTTAGCCTTTTAAAGGCTATAGAAGCAGCTGAAAAGTCTCTACAGAGCAAGATTCACCCACATCTACCACCTGAGGTGGTTTCTTTTGAGACTCATTCTTGGGCATCAGTGGAAGAATATATTCCCAAATGGGAGCTGATAGGTTCTGGCCCTAGTGTGAATTGCTAAAATCATTATGGTGCTCATCTAATATGGCCGATACCCTTAAAACAAAAGCCTATCTTCCCAAGACCACCACCCCCTTCTTCTCCAGGGTAGCCCAGGACATAATTCGCTTTCACCCTTCCCACCACCTCAGGGAAGACCCCCCAGTTTCTCAGGTATATCTGAACATCCCCTTCAAGCCCCCTCCCTTGGCAAAAGGCTGTAAAAGCCTCAGCCTCCCTTTGTCGTGAGAGAATTCCTCAGCCTTCCCGCATTCTCTCCCGTGTCCTCAAAGACAGTAAAGCCCCTTTCCCGTCTTCCTTCTGCCTGCTTCTCTGCTGCGCTGATCACCTGAAAACACCTAGCGGGAACAGTTTCTTTTAGGACAAGGACCGTATCCTACTGGTGTTGAAAGTCAAAAAAGGAGAAAACACCATTTCAAATGGGGCACGGTGATAACTGCTTCACACACTACTATTTCAAAAAACCTCCATGATGTTGCTCATCTTTAAAGAGCTTGTAGGTGGACGTGGGAACTTGAGGGATCGAGGATTTGGTGTTGATGTTGCTTCACTGACTCTGAGTAAGGATGCTGAGGCCCTACTGAGAAGTTTCTGGTCATTCCCACTATTCAGGATCATGAACTTGGTTCCTACCAAACGCACGGAACTGTTAAAAACTAATATTAAAGTATTATTAAATAAAATAAATAAATAAAATGAAGGGAAGTGGAAAGTGGGAAGAACCCTGAGGTATCCATCGAGACTTTCAAAGGTGTTAGATTTTAGTTTAGTGCTGCGATTAGGGCATATAATTTCTCTGTGCTGGAACCGTGGACAGGGAAGACAGCACTTGTGTATAATAACTGCAGTTTAATAAAAACGGACTGGGCACGGTGGTGCACGCCAGTCATCTCAGCACTGAGGAGGCTGAGGCTGGAACATCGCTCTGAGTTTGAGGTCAGCTGGGGCTACATAGTGAGTTCAAAGCCAGTTTGGGCTACATAGCAAGACTCTGTCTTGGAAAACTGAAGTAAAATAGAATAAAAACTTTAAGAAGGGTTTCTGGGGCTGGAGAGATGGCTCAGTGGAATAAGTGCTTCCCTGGCAAGTGCAAGGGCCTGAGTTTAATTCCTGGTTCCACCAAGAAAAAGAAAAAGAAGAAGGGTCTCTGGCTAAGTGTAGTGGCATAGGTCTATGATCTAAGCACTTGGGAGGCTGAGGCAGGAGGACTGCCGTGAGCTTGAGGCCAGCATGGGCCACATAGTGAGACCCTGTCTCAAAAAACCAGACCAAACAAACATAGGGGTTCAACAGCCCAGGGCTAGCTAGCACCTGGCCAAGGGGGAGGTGCCCTGTAACTCCTTTGAGCTCAGGGTTGTGATGCAGTGGGAAGGCCGTGCAGAGCAGGCGGAAGACCTACTGGCCAAGGCTGCTGTGGAGAGCCCAACTAGGGGCTCTTACACATCTGGGCCAACTGTGAAATGGGGAGCGGGGCAATGGTTACCAGGTAGTTTAAAGGACAGGAATTAGACCAGGAACGCTGCTGGCTCAGTTTTCTTTTCTTCTTTTTTGCGGAACTGGGGATTGAACTCAGTCCCTTATGCTTGCCAGAGAAGCTCTTATTCTACTGAGCTAACTTCCTGGCCCCAAGGGTCAGTTTTCAAAGAACTTCCTTAAGCTGGGCACAAGAACTCTGGGAGGCTGAGGCAGGAGGATTACAAGTTTGAATCCAACCCGGGCAACTTGACACAATCATGTCTCACCAAAAACAAACAAACAAACAAACAAACAAAACTGAAAAGGCCCTGGGTCCAGTCCTTAGTACAAATAAATAAATAAATAAATAAAAAATATATAGCCATTTCCCAGTGATTCTGCAGGGTAAAGTTTCTTAAGTTGCAAAACAAAACAACAAAAAAAAGAGAATTCGGGGCTGGTGAGATGGCTCAGTGGTCTAAAGCACCTACTTAGAACAAGCTTAGCTAAAGCACAGGGACAGTGGTTCAATCCCCCAGCACCACATGCCAGCCAGCCCCGCCCCCTCGTGGGCTGAGCTGGCCAC